GTTGACACCCTGGCAGGTGGCTCACCTATTGTGAACAGAAGTGCCGTATGATCGCTGCCCGTATAGCTATCGCAGTGGCTCCATGTTGCTTCCTGAACGAGGGATGAAGTGACAAAAGTAATGTCAATTACAGATCCGTATCCAGCCCGACTGAAGGTGAACTCGTGGCCAGTGTTGAACAGTGCAACATCTAGTATCGCGAAAATCTCCAGTAAGATACGGCATTTGTTGTGTGGCTACCCCATTCTAACGCCGTTGTGAAATCATTGAGCTGCATGCTGGGGGCCAGGTAGCAGCTGTAGAGCCATAGGCTACCGTATTGGCCACTTACGAACCCATTAAATGACTTAATATTCGAAAGAACATTCGTTGTGTTGCCACATACCCACAACAGTAGCCAGTAGCATCTGTTGAGCATATCCTAGGGCAGCTTGACCGACAGTGATGAGACTCACTGAGAAAGGCTATACATTTTTCCCTTATGGTCTGCTTTAGAAAATTTGTGGCAGCAACACAATAATTCACATTAAGCTGCAGGAACCTTAACGTTTTATACTACGCGTAGTTTCGGTAGAATGGGCACTCGAATCTGCCTGCTGAATGGACAGTCTGCTTCTCGCCTTTCCGGACGCAAAGGCTACATTTTGGTGGCTTGGTGCATGCTTTTGCACTGTGACCCATCTCTCCGCACCTGAAACAGGCACTCTTGAAGTCACAGTAGCTGCCGCAATTGGCTGCAATATGACCGTAATTGAGACACTTGAAACAGCATTCAGGCTGGTACGCGGCTCGGATATGGGATACTACCCATCCTATTCTAATTTTGGACAGCTCGAGCATAGTTTTGGCCTTCCCAACTGATAGAGTGATCGTAGCTCTTTGCTGTCCACCAACATGCGCATGTGCGTATGTGCATGTGTGCAGAAAGAGTTGCGTAGACAGGCACACAAATGCTTATACTCAGCGAGGGACTACAGTTGAGTGCTCACGCTTTCATACCCTTCCTAGAAATAATTATGTGAACGCTAAACTTTTGTATGAACGTGGCAAACGTTTTTAAGATTTCGGTATGCTATTCATTCAAAAGGAACGAGCTGGGATCGTACATTTTTGTGCGGTGCTGAGCTGATGATTTGAGAGACTGTAGAGAAAGAAAAGAGAGACTAGGACAAATAACGCATTAAATAACGGGACCATTTCGTTTGCGTGCTTGCAGCGCACTGATTTCGTCGGGCTATCTTTCATTACCCAAGCCAAAAAAATACCGAGCCTAGCAAATACGAATTTGCTTGGTAAAAATTTAGAAAAAATTTATTCTAGATGTCTAGTCTATGTATTCCTTGGTAAGTGGTAAAATACTTACCAAATATATCAAAAGTCTAGCTTAATTTATTATTTAAATCACTACTTTGAATTTATATTTTACAATGATTCTAAATTACTGAAAAAAACGTGGCTCGTCAAATAGAATAGCTATATCTTGGTGTCTTCTGATATGTGAGGAATAGAAATGTACTTTAATCTTTAAATCTTGTATATAGGTAAAGATAGCAATGAAGCACGTAATTATATAACTTCATTTAGATACATTAAAATCTTGAGTTTTTAACATAAGAACAGAGTTCCATTGTTTGTGTTTATATAGCTGGGCAATGCCATCTTATTATGAGATTATTCAAATTGATTTAACACACCTCATTGCGTATGTAATGGTCCCGTTTCGGAATATTCTTAAAGCGAAATGCATTGGTATGATGGGATCCTTAAAATCGCCATGCATAATGAAATATGTGTCGGGCGTCCAGATACTGTCATGATGATGCAAAGCATTTAAGAAATCATAATGAGACTTATTGCCATATTGCAGACGCGGATCGTTCCATTGCTGATTCAACAGAAATTCCACTTCATATTTCTGCAATAAATTTGTATTTGATTATTACATAATGTACATATTACCTATCTTCTTACCAAGCTGCTCTCATCTGGTGATGCCAAGCTTAAAAGCAATACGTTAACATTAACCGTCAGTGTACCTAAAACAATATTAAATAATAATAGTTACAATAATACTGAAACTTTGTGAAAAAATTATTTAAGGCTATATGCACAATAACTAATTTAATTAATTTTTATGTTTAGTATTAACCGAATAAATAAATGTACGATTTTAAATCTTAATCTTAATTACAGGAGAAATAAAATGTAGGGTACCTATTAGGCAGAGAACTGCAAGTGTGTCAATTTTTGCCGCCTTACTCACACTCAATCAAATTTGTGTGCCGGTGTCACTCATTACTGGCTCAGCAAATCATAAACACACACTTATGAAAAATTGTGTAAGTGCTACTCATGCAGGCAAAATCTTGCTGTCCCTCACAACAATGTACCGTTTTCTTTTTGCTTGTCACAAGTATTTTTCGTTAACGCTTGCCTGTCGCACTTATACTTACAGGGAACATAGAAAAAAAAAAAAGCGAAAGTGTGAAAAAAGCAATAGGCAATAAATACAAGTAGACAAATCACATTAATGTCACCCAAGTGTTTTACAGGCACCATGGTGTGTGTGTTCAAGTAAAGGTTGTTTTGATTTTGCACTAGCTCCTTTTTTAGTTTCCTAGTTTATTTCGTGTTTCATGTTGTTAATTAAATGAATGTTTATTTAATATATTAAATGAATGAAAAAAAAAAATTATTTTTGATTTCAATATTGTTTTTTTTTTTCTATTTGTTCAAATATTTTTGTGAGGCGAGTGATTGTATGCATTTGTGCGGTGGCGGAAAACAGCCGGGTGTCAAAATCATCCAACATTTACCCGGTACACCCTAAGTGCCGGTGGCTTGTTGCAGTTCTCTGGTGCCTAACTATATGGTGCCAATATAAAAAAAAACTAATTCGTGATGTGCTTCGTAAAAAATGTTTACTGGACAAATTAATTTCGTTTGTATTTTTACCAACCGCGATTATGTGTTCTGCGCTCATTATGAATTGTAGCCATATCGGGTGATTGCAAGCCACAGCAAAAGTCCTCATCTGTAAGATTTAATTAGTATGATTTTTTATGCAAAGATATGATAAAAACGTATTGTATATAATTCCTATTTAATACATTTTGCAGTCCAACGCTTCCAGACACGTTTTTTCAACGGCACTGCACTTGCTTTACGTCAATATCACCCTTTTTGTGCTTTTATTGCGATGTTATTCGGCTTTTATGCCCTAGACCCATTGACCCATGATTTGAAAATGTTATGTAACAAGTCAACAGCACATATTCTTGATAAGGGCGAGGAATCATCGTCCATATGTATGAACGCGTTAATCTCAGAATATATTTAGGTAGAGAAACGAAATTTTTTTTCCTAGGTCCGTGTATATTACATGCATATGAAGACAGTTCTTCTACAAGAAAAGTGTGTGTATATATGTGAAGCAGAAAGATGCGAAGAATTATTTTGATACATGAACCAGTTCCGCGAAGGATTCAGGGCATCTCCTAGTCGAGCAGTCTCGACTAAAGCCTTCTTACATGTGTAAACACAGAACCCATTGAAAATCGGAAATCAGGGTATAATGGTTTTGTTAAAAGTATGTAACAGGTAGAAGGAGGCGAGGCAAGCCCCACGAAGTATACATATCCTTGATCAGAGCGACGATCTGAGTCGATATAGCCATGTATGTCTGTCGAACCGTTTTTCGATAACTCATTCGGTTCTTTTTATCGAGAATTATCGATAAATTGATTTTTTTTAACTAATTCAGATATACTGTCTATATACAGCTGCAACTGATATTTCAATAATTATTCGCACATGCACACACACACACAGACACACATACGCACGCATAAACACGCATTGGCTGCAGTGTTGGCTTACTATGGGAATTTAATTGTTTATTAACTTTTCTTGTGGACATACGATCTTTATGAAAGATCGTGATTATTACAATGAAATGCCTGCACTAGCCAAAGCACAAGTCTTTAATATTTGCAATACGTMTTTTACAAATATGTTGGTGAGGGGATGGATAGAAAGGTGGGCGGTAAAATTTAACAAAAAAAATTGCATAAAATGCATATAAATGTACATTCAAAATGTGGAGACTGTAGCTCCAAAGATGTAGGATATATAATTTTTTAATTGATTATTGATAAGGTTTTCCGATCGAGGTTTTTATCGATAAAAAAGATCGGGATGAGATATCGATTTTTAGTGATAAACTCGATATCCGTGCTGCAAATACGGACATTTAAACACAAGTAAGAACGTTGCAGTCGGCCGTTAGCGACTGCGGAATAGTCATTCACATCCCATCAACAATTTAGTAGTTAAGTTTCGCTCTAATACTTTATAAAATGCAGTTTTCCCCGATTTGCCACGCCCCTACTGGGCGTGAGATCTTAGAACGAGATAGCGGTACCCCAACTGCAAAGTTTGAATGCTTACCCTCCAAAAATGTGAAAATTACAGGGTATTTTTCGATATGCCACGCACCTATAGAGGCGTAAAAATGATTTTTAGATCATCGATAGAGGAGGTTACTGGTAGCTTAACTATCTAAATTTGGGAGCTTCTAGCTATTATACTTTAGGAGATATAAACTTTTGCGGTTTGCCACGCCCCCTGTGGGCGGACATATATCCGCTAAAGCTTTTTGGTCTTGGGTGATCAGCCCGAGTATATATACAAAATTTTAGGTCTCTGACATCGATAGTGTCTAAAATATAGCAGAATTAAAAAAATGACTATATCTTCGGCCACGCCTCTAATGGGCGTAGACTTAAAATTTATAGAATAAAAAGTTCAGCGTTATGGCTGTAAAGCTCTTGAAGATACAGTTTTATCTGATTTGCCACGCCCCCAATGGGCGTAGATATATCCGCCATAGCTCGTGATCTTGGGTGGTTGATTAATGTGATTTATGGCATATCGGAAAATGCATTTTCCGATTTGCCACGCCCC